AGTTGAGGCCTAGCATAGGCAATTTGGTAAGACCCTGTCTCAAAAAGGCCTAGGGGTACAGGTGAGTGGTAGAGAGCCCTTGGGTTCAATCCCTAATACCAAGCCACACCCCCTCATACACACACACACACACACACACACACACACACGAATAAGAGGTAAAGACAACTTTAAATAACAGTTATATGGAGCAGCCTGTAATTTTAGGGTTGAGGCACATTACCCAGAGAGGAAGGAACAATCTTAAAAGAGTCCCCTCTTTTACCATCTTTAGGCTAAGATTTGGACCTCCCTAGAGAGAGGGTGGTCATGGCCCCCTAAAGGGTGAAGTTTGCTGAGGTGCTACAGCTGGGGCTGGTAAGCACGACAAAAATTGACCACTGAGGAACCACTGAACTCACTAAACCTGCCAGCCCCCTTTGTGTGTGTGTGTGTGTGTGTGTGTGTGTGTGGGTGTGTGTGTGTGTGTGTGTGTGTGAGAGAGAGAGAGAGAGAGAGAGAGAGAGAGACAGAGAGAGAGACAGAGAGAGAGACAGAGAACAAGAACATATGCATGCATACAAGAGGGACAGTTTTGCAAACCCTTCCCTGCCATGGGTCACAAAAGTAAGAAGGGAAAGAAAATACACTGGAGCCAGCACCAGAAGCCCCTTCATTTTTTTGTGTTCCTGGTGGTCTCTACTGATGAAGTAAATCAGTGCCAGCCAGCAGAGGAGAAATATTTACAGGGTCCTGCCTCAGTATCTTAAAGCATGGCAAAGGGAAGTAGATTTGGAGCCAAGAAGCTGTAAATTGATTACAGGCACATATACATGCTGCTACAGAAAAATTGATATATTTGATTCTGGAGTGCCATCTTATACTACTTTGGCTGTTGTCTTATACACATGGTATATACACTGTTCAGCCTTTGTACTACCTAAATGATTCTGCAACGTATCAGGACCTCAGGGTCCTTGTTAAGGGAACATGGACTAGTACAGTACTTCGTTGTTAACATATATTGTAAACCTTGGCGTACAGATTCTGAAACTTTGGGGGGAAATATGCCTCCAGGTCTTCTGTCTTTGACTATGCTCAAACCTGATGACTATCTGGTATCAAGCTTGAAGCAATAAGATACCTGTGCATCTAAGTACTTGTTTGAGAAGAGGCTAGAGTGAGGAGATAAGCCTTGGCTCAGCTTGCATAAGGCTTCTACCACAAACATGACTTTTTTGTTTTGCTGTCCTAGGGCTGAACCCAGGACCTCATGCATGCTAGGCAAGCATTATACCACTGAGCTATATCCCCAGCCCTTTTTGTTTATTTGTTTGTTTGAGATGTCTCACTAAGTTGCTCAGAATCGCCCTAGACTTGCAATCCCACTGCCTCAGCCTCGCAAGCAGCTGGAACCATAGGCATTTACCACAGACTGGCTTAAATATGATTTGTTAATACCGCTGAGCAGCTGGTATCTCATTCAATAATGTTAACATTTCTTTCTCTTAAGGGGGGATATGATTTTAATTAAAGGACATAAACCTTGAGTTAATCACCATAGCTCCAATGACAGGGGCTACAAACTAAAATATCTATATGGGTTGGAAATGAAATCTAGATGAGAGAAGTATGCAAATTGCTATGGTTTGAATGTCCCCATCAAAACTCACATTAACATTGAATCACTACTATGAGCTGCTAAGAGGTGGGACCAGGTGGCACTGTGAAGAGGTAACTGGCTAAAGTATGTTATATTCATGTACAAAAAAAAGGTGTTTGGGTCTGGAAGACTCTGCCCCAAGGCATGGATCAACTTGTATGTGGATTAATGGATTAGTGAGGTTACTGAGGGAGTGGCTTTGTTATGAAAGGAAGCCCTTTCTGGCTTGCTATTTCTCACCAAATGACACCCTCTGTTATGATCCAGCAGGAAGGCTCTTACCAGATTCCAAGCAGATGACACCATGCTCTTAGACCTCCAGAACCATAAACTAGATAAACCTCTTTTCTTTATATATAAGCCAGGCTCATGTATTCTGTTACAGCAACAGCAAATAGACTAAGACACAGATATGAGACATCTGAGAGTAATAGGACTGTGAAAAATCATAGAGTACATCCTTCATATAAAGAAGACAGTTGCAGCTGGGCATCATGGACATCATAACTGTGAGTGCAGCTACTTGGGAGACTGAGGCAGCAGATTTCCAAGTTAAATGCCATTCACTGCAACGTAGTGAGACACTGTCTCAAAATAAAAAAATGGGTGGGGTGTAGTTCAGGTAGAACACTTGTATGAGGTCCTGGGGTTCAACCCCCAGTACTGCGGGAGGGAAAAAAAAGTAGTTGTTCTTTAATCCCTGCATATTGCTGTCATGTAGATCCAACAGTCAGACATTCTAATTTTGCAAGAGAAGCTGGAAATGCAGATTTTAAAATGTGAAACTGTCGTGGGTGTGATGGTGCATGCCTGTAATTCCAGCACTGGGGAGGCTGAGGCAGGAGGACTGCCGTGAATTCAAGACAAGCCTGGGCGACATCATAGTGAGCTCCAGGCCAGTCTGAACTGAATAGCAAGACTTTCTCATCCCCCCAAGAAACTGTTAAATTTTAAAACAATAAAAAAAGATAGCACAAGATAAACATACATGGGGGGGATCATATTCAGCTTGTGACTCCTACTTGTGTCGTATGTGCTATGCCTTGTGGCAGGTGCCGGGACTTTTGCAGTCTTGGACCTCAGTCAACCATGCCTCTCTGTATTTATAGCCTTCTATAGAACTTGCCACACTGACTATGGACTTGGCTGTGTGACCTCCCTTAGCCAATAGGCCATTAGTAAGAGTGCTGCAATCAAAGGGTTGATAAGCACTTGCTCACTTATGCTTGTCCTCCTTCAAACTACTATGCAGAGGCTTGAATGATAAGAAGCCTTGTGGAAAGAGAGGTCCTGGAGGATGAGAAATCATTTTGAATGAGTTCCCAGCTGATTGCAGCTCCATGTGTTACCTCGGATCACACCATGTGGGCCCAACTGAGCCACCCACACAATTGTAAAAAATAATAAACTATTGTTATTCTAAGCTGCTAAGTCTAAGGGTGGTTTGTTATGTTGCAATAGGTAACTGAAACAAAGGTCACTTATCCTAACCTCCTTGCTTTATTATTAAGGTTTAGATAGGGAGAGGAGTTTGGAGAAATTCAGATAGCAAGTTAGTGGCAATAACTTTCCACTCTTTCTTCCAATTTTCCTGGTAAAAAGCACTTCATTTCAAAATATCTTCAGGGAACTTACACTGTGTCCTGAATGTGTACAGATTGCTGTAATAACTTGGCCTTGAAAATGGAAAAGATTTCTAGGTCATCCAGTCACTTCACTTTACAGATTCAGAGAATGCAGAAACACTTCAGAGGAGAGCAGCCTCTGACATCTGGAAGCTGGCCTGGTAAAATCAGCCAGGTCTTAATGTCACCACACAAATGCTTGACCCTTCCAGCTAGGCCTCGTGCTCTCCTGTAGAACAGAAACAATTTCACAGAACATCAACATTAGATAAGGCCATTCTATGACCATAATGGCTCAAGACACAAACAAGTCCACTTTATAATCATGTCTGAACTCAGGTGAAACATAAATACTGTCCTAACCACAAAAAATGAAAAGGTACTCTAATAGGGCAAATACGAGGGGCTGCTGCTTAGACAAGATTTATTGAGATGTCCATTCATACAATTGTCTCCACTTGGTGACGTCATCTCCAGAGAGACATCTGTGCTTCCTTAAACCCTCTCCCAAATCACCTGACAATTTTTTTCCTGGTAGAGAAAATTGAACTCACTGAGCTACATCCTCAGGCCCCTTACCCCGTTTACTTTTTATTTTTGAGACAGATCACTAAGTGGCCCAGGCTGGGCTTGAACTTGCAGTTCTTCTCCTCACCATAAAGAGTGCTGGGATTACATGTGTGCGCCACCATATTTGGTTTCACCTACCAACTGTCACCTTGAGATGCACCACAGTTCCTCACGGTGTGTGTTTTACCGCACTGCAACTAGCAATAAACTCAATTTATTACACTCAACTACCAGTGTGTTGCTGTGGGTGGATTTTTGTTAGAGGACACCGAGGTGGCGAAATTCAAGAGTTGAAGGCAGAGCTCACTAGAAGGAGTTTCCAGATGTGTTCCTTCTTAGCATTGTTACTCTTCCGATTAATGTTTGCTTCCGTTCTCGTTGGAATTAAACTCCATGAGAACAGGACCCTGGTCTCATTCTCGGTGCTTTGCACAGTCAGTACCCAGCAGAGGCTGGATGCTTAAAAAATAAATATTTTCTGAGCGAGTGAGTAAAGGGGTTCAATCGATACTGGTAATCTTTCACCCCTCAGCTCCTTCGAGTTCGTGTGGCATACAAACGGCACATCTCCGTACACTGCCTCTTCCCCAACAGAATCTCCAAATCTCTTTCTCCTAGGATGCCTAATCTCTTAGATCCTTCTCCTTTGCCCGAGCTTCTCTGGCTCGCGGTCCCTCTCTCACACTCAAATCTCAGGACTCTGTCTTCCTAACGCACCCACCATCGGTCTACATCATCTGCCCCTACCACAAGAAACACTCGCAAAGAGCCGGGCCGCTAACTCAGCGTGGAGTGGGAGCTGCAGACACTGACAGCGCATGTGCAGAAATTGGTCGCATACGCAAGATCTCTGTCAAGTAAAGAGTTGCCTTCGAGTTTCCGTCCCGGTTAAGGCAGCCGTGGGCTGTCAGGAAGTCAGGAAAAACGAGCCGGAAAAAGAACCAGCGCGCAAGGCTTTCTGGGACCTGTAGTCGCGGTGCAGCCGAGGCCTTACCCTGAACAAGCCCTTAATTCTTTAGGTCTGCACTCGCAGGATTTACAGTCGAGCTTTCCATTCTGCTCAGAATTCCGTCTCGGGCTGCCAACAGAGAGTGGTCCGGGATCCGCTTTGTGTTCCCACAACGCCCTGCGGGGCTCGCGGCGCCTGCTGGGAGTTGTAGTCCTTGCTCTGCGTACTGCGTTCGCCGAGGGGGAGGGCGGAGCTGCCGGCGGCCCGGGCGGGCTGGCAGCTAGAGTGGGTGCGAGAGCCGCCTCCGCCTCTGCCGCCTCCGCCGTCGCCTCCTCCGCCCGGGCCGTTCGCTGCTGCGTGGGTAGAGCGAGGCGGGGCCGCCGGGGCCGCCATGGAGCCCGACTCGGTGATTGAGGACAAGACCATCGAGCTTATGGTGAGTGCGGCCCGCTGGACCGTCCGTTCTTCCTTCCGCCCGGCCCCGGCCGGGCCTGCCCACCTCAGCGTCCCGCGCGAGGCCAGCCCCAGCCCTTCCTGGCCGCCTCGGCCCAGGCTCTCGCCCCCCGCCTTCCTTGGCCTTCGGCCCGGCGCGGTTCCTCCTGATCCCTCGAGATCTCAGGCTGGCTTCAGCCCGGCCCCCTCCATGCCCCCCGGATCGCCCCCTCCCTTCCCGTCTCCGGGCCCATTCTTCGGACGACCCTCGCACGGGTGTGCAGCAGCTTTAGGTCACCCTTAGTCTAGCATCTCATCCTCCTTCTGTAGGAGGGGGAGCTCCCCCTCCCGCCCGGTATTTCTCCGGCCCAGGCCCGCACCGCGCTTCCAAGCCCCACTCAGGCCGAAGAGATGGTGGTGGGAGGGTGTAGGGAGGAGAGCGGCTAGGGCTGCCTGGGCCTCCGCTTCGTAGAGGGGTTTCAGCACCTTCTCCTCCACCTTTGGCTGTGTGGATGCCGAGATAGGCCCTAGAGGGCTCTGGCTGGGGAGCTCTCGGTTTTGAAGCTGTGACGGATAAGGGGCCTCTTTCGCGGCCCCGTGGTGTCAGGCTTCTCGGACAAAGGGGTTTCCTACCCGGCGGTGAGGGCTGTTTGCAGAGCAAGGCTCCAGGTATTCTGGATTCCATCCCCCAGGAAAGGGGAAACCATAACTTTACGTTTTCCAGAACTGCTTTGAGAAATGGGGGAGGAAGAGAAAGTCGTCCTCATCACTGCCACCAGTTCTTTCTTAAAAAAAGAAAGAAAAGAAAAAAAAAAAAAAGAAAAAAAGAAAAATGAAGCCCCACTCCGCATCCGTTTTCTGGTAGAAACCATTAGTAGCCAGGCTAGCACCACTGGTCCACGGACGCCTCCAATGTCTTTCCTCCCCTATGACTTGTAGCCAGGAGGAATTTTTAGAAACAGGACTGTGGCTATGAGAGAGTGGCTAGTAGAAGTGAAGAATTTGCTAATTGCTGGATGATTTGGTAGAAGAAATAAAATATGGTAGGTATTACCTGCCAATTTGAACATTAGGGAAATCAGACTGCACTCTGGAGAGTTGAGAGGAAGTCTTTGCCTCCGCAAATGGACATTCACAGGTTTCTTCCTGTGGAAACCTTGACAGTTTCTTCTATCTCCGCTAACACAGTAACAACTTTACTCCACAGTTGAGAGGAAAGGTGAAAGAATTTACTTAACCTAGCGCAGTGTTTTCCTAGCCGATTTTCGCCAATGTGAAAATGTTTATTGAGTCAGTGATTCCACTGGGTAGGGATGGTGACATCAGAGCCACTTCCCCCATTTAACACTATAAATAATAAATGGTGACACTGAAAGTCTGTTGGATAGCTGCATGGTTTCTGTGGATGATGGTATCTGGGGAGTTGAGATGCATATTTTAAAAACGGAGGTACGGTAGCATAAATACTGAGAGGTAGCTTCATATTCGCTGTCCTTTGTATAATTCATAGAATCGGACTTCTACTCTTCTTGAAAACTGGGAGATGGGGGTGGTCTGGTGTACTTTCTGATTTTTGTTTGTGTTTGAGTGCTTATGTGGTTGTTTTCATTTATTGAGTACTTTTTTCTTTTCAGCATTATCAAACTATGGTCAAGAATTTGATATTCTGCAATTTTTGTAGTTATTATTTTGGTAATATATCTTAATTGGAATGATGTATATTACATATTCTTAAAGATGTGCAATACATTACTTAAAACGGAGTATTTCTGAAACGTAATCTGGTATCTCTATGAATATGAAATAGGCTGTTTTGTGCTTCTTCCATTTCCATTCATTTAAAAAGAATAACTAAAACGTCTTTATTCAAGTGAGCTAGAAGAAATACAGTGTAACTCAAGTCAGTGCCTATGAGTGTATGGTTAAAAATCTTTGGCCTAAATTTACTGATTTTCTGTGTTCATAGCTTAGAAAGTTTTGATTTTAGACCTGGGGTGCAGCTCAGTGGTAGAACACATGCTTAGCGTGCATGAGGCCCTGAGTTCAATCTCCAGTACCACAACCACCAAAAAATAAGTTTTAATTTTATATGAAAGTATTTATCTCTGGTCTGAAAAGAGATTTTAATTATTTAAGGACATTACAAACTAAGATTTAAGCTAACATTCTTAGAAAATTTAACAAAGAGTTTTGTAGTTGTGACCAATTAAAGTTGTGACTTTCATTTAAGGATTTTGATATTTCCTGAAAGGGACAGTTGTTTAGACTTTTAGACAACTCTTTTCATAAACATATGTGTATTTATTTTAGTATAGTAGGGTAGGATAAGTGCTTAACCACTGACAAAGTAAATCCAGTATCAAATGCAGGAATGATGATACCTTAAAATCCAATTGCTTGTGGTTTTCTGCATTTGCTGACATCTAAATCATGCTTTCCAAAAGTAGGTAAAAATGTTTTTAATATTTTGGTTTCAAAGTAACATAATAGAAGCAGAGGAAGGGGTTAAATTGATGGTTATCTTGAAACCCTACAGCATGAAATATTTTAGATTTTTATGCGTCAGCTTCAATACTCAAGTATTTGTGATTGTGCTGCTTGTACTAGTTTGGTACTTAATGGTTAACAGGATTACTTTCATGTGATATTCCAGAATGTACTGTATTAAAAGAGGAAATAGACTTTTTGGTCATCTCCATTTCTTAATATTTATCCCTCTACTTTGATCTTTTCTTTTGAGAAGATTCTTTTTTTTCTCATGCAGGCCTTAGAGTCTCTCAAATGCTAGGCCAGTGCTTTAGTGCTGTGCTGTAACTGCTCCCATATATTGCACTTCTGGATTTTTTTTTTTTTTTTTTTTTTTGTCTTTTTGAGACAGGGTCTCGCTATGCAGTTCAGTCCATCTGTGGCCTTGAACTCACAACGATCCTCCTGCCTCAGCCTCCCAAGTGCTGGGATTACAGGCATGTGCCATCATGCCCGGCTATATTGCACTTCTGATTGATAGGAAATAAAGCTGGTTACAGTTGAGACTGGGGGTGGTATAGCTTAACAGTAGATTGCATGATTTACATTCCAGAGGCCGTGGGTTTAATCCTCAGTACCACAAACAACACAAACAACAGCAAAAACCAAGCAAACAAAAAACCTAGAGAATAATGAAATCTCCAAATTTCCTACCCCTGTGACTTTTATTCTTACTTGAGGCCTGAGTCTACAAAAGTATGTCTCCCTCTGACCTGCATAGGATTGAGACTGTGAGCTCTTTACTTTTTCAATACTGAGGATTGAAGTCAGGGCTTTGAGCATACTAGGCAAGTGCTCTGCCACTGAGTTATATTTTCAGCTCTCTTTCTTTTTTTTTTTTAAAATTATATTTTGAGACAGGGTCTCTCTATGAAGTTCAGAGTGGCTCTGAAAGCACTATGTAGCCGAGGCTGACTTTGAACTCAAGACAATCCTCTGGCCTCAGCCTCCCAAGTGCTGGGATTATAGGCGTGCACCACAACACCTCACCTGGTTTAGCCTTCTTATTTTTTGAGACAGGATCTTGTTAATTTGTCCAAGCTCACCTTTGAACTTATGGTCCTGTGATCCCCCTTACTCAGTCTGGAGAGTATCTGGGACTGCAGATGTGTGCCACTATGTCAGACCAAAACTGATTGTGACAACTGAATTTACAATTACTACGAGAGAATAATTTAGTCACCATATGACTTTCATGGCCCTATATTGGCCTAGTACTATACCTACCTTGTGGGCCTGTTTTTCAAACTTTTTACTTCAGTAATACCAGCTTTATTATGAATGAGGTAGAAGAGTAGTAGTTTATTTTGGACATATACAGAAAGTATCAGGCTATATCTAATTCAGTGGGCTTCACTGGGAAGAATGGAAGCTCTGCATTATATATCATTTATTAACTCTTGATTGGAAATTAGAGTTTTTATTCTATCACTCATCACTAGCCTCATCACAAAGGTGCTGATTGGAAGGGAGAGATGGTTGGTCCATTTTGAAAGGTAGCAGAACTTGATTTTAAAAGTTTAGGAATAGTAATCCTATCTCATCTAGAGGTGTGAGCAAATCTCTTCCCCCTTTACACAATGGGCATTTTATACTCTGTTATTAACTGTTGAATAATTATCCTTTGTTAAGTGACCTTGAGTGAGTCATTTCCTTTCCTGTCGTATCTCATGTGGCTATACTACTTGTTGAATGAAGTAGTATATAGGTTAAAATACATTGGCTTTTATTAGGAAGGGGTGCTATAAATGCTACTTTTAGAGCTGTTGAAGTATAGGCAGGCCATAAGACCAAGGAGCTGAAAAAAAACTGATGTTATTGAAGAGTTTTCTCCCTTGTATTTTTCAGTATACTTTTTTTCTGTCTCATTGTTGAGACAGAGGTGATCTAAAAGGTGAATGTTTGGTGACTCCATTAAGAAGTTGGAGATTTGCTATCATATTCATACCTTCAGTGGTGTGCTAATTTACCAAGTGTAGATTAAAGGGATGCAGGTTTCACTAGGGCCTACATAAATAAACCACATTTATATTTCTAGACCTCATTGACCTGCCAAAAGAGGCTGTGGCTCAAATATATCGGTCTTTGCCTGTGATTTTGGAGTAGGTTAGATTTCCTTTCAGTGTTGACAAGCATAAACATGTCTTGCACATGTGTCTTGGCACTGTTGGTCCCTGACTGCTATAATCTCTATCCTGCAAACTGAGAGAGATAGCCAGGGAAATTATGAGGGCATTGCATAGATTCACAGTACAGCACATATATCTTGCTGAATAGGGCTGTTTGGGCCCATAAATTCTAGAAACAGTTTTTTATTTTGTGAGTTCTCTGGATTCCTAGGTTTCACCTTGTATTATTTCCAGTTTATGGGAAGGAAAGCATTTTTGAAAATTCCAGTGATTACACTTGTAGTCTCCCATCTGACTTTTCTTCTCACTTTTTTAGAGTTACTTCTTTGATTGAGCCACACTGCTCCCA